AAAGACAAACTTTGGGATAGAAATATCGCCGATAAATATGCTCCTGGGTTTGTGTGTGTTTTCTTCGCTGCAAAGAAAATAGGGAGACATTCCATTCTGTCTGGGTTCCAAGTGTCCGGGCCTCACTCGGGCTTTTATGGGAGGATGGGGACTCTGCCAGGCCACCAACAGGGAGGCCATTCTCCGCGGGAGGTGGGGAGGGGATGGCGTACCTGGGGCGGAGGAGGGGGAGAGGGGGCGCCTGAAATGAAGCGAAGGAAGGGCTTGGGGGTCAGGAAGTCAGAATGCTGCTGCATGAAGGCTGGTGAGAGAGAGAGAGAGAGAGAGAGAGAGAGAGAGAGAGACCGAGACCCATAGTTAGAAACAGGGAAACCCTTTCCCTGATCAGTCCATAATTGCCAACCTGGCCCGAGTCTTGGCCTTTACTCCATCAAATTATGGGACTGGCCCTGGCCGGTTTGGCTCAGTGGATAGAGCGTCGGCCTGTGGACTGAAGGGTCCCGGGTTCAATTCTGGTCAAGGGCACGGACCTCGGTTGCAGGCCCCATCCCTGGCCCTGGTCCAGGCGTGTGTGGGAGGCAACCAATAGATGTGTCTCTTTCACATCGATATTTCTCTCTCTTTCTCTCTCTCCTTCCCTCCCTCCCTTCTACTATCTCTAAAAAAAAAAAAAATCGATGGAAAAACAAGCAAATAAACAAATAAATGTATTTATTGTGGATTGTTAAAAAAAAAATTATGGGACTGAATGGGCGGCTTACCCTCTCGCCTTGAACCCCTCAAAGGGCAGGGGAGACCTCCAGACCTAGTTTTGGCTCAGCCACTCACTACTTTATTTTTTAAATATATTTTTATTGATTTTGGAGAGAAAAGGAGAGGGAGAGAGAGATAGAAACATCAATGATGAGAGAATCATTGACCGGCTGCCTCCTGCACGCCCCCACGCCCCCGGGGAATGAGCCCGCAATCCAGGCATGTGCCCTGACTGGGAATCGAACCAGGAATCAAACCGTGACCTCCTGGTTCATCGGTCAATGCTGAGCCACTGAGCCGTGCCGGCTGGGCCACTCACTGCTGTAATAACACCGGACCCGCCCCCAAAGGCTGAGTGAGATGCTGGGCCAGGCAGGGGCCCTCTCTGAGGGTAGGGACTGAGTCTGGCTCGGTCCCCAGCATGGGGTCTGGCGCTCAGCAGGCATCCCTCAATGCCTGGTTCCTCCCCGCTCCCTGATGGCAGGCCTGGGGGAGCCTCGCCTCTCAGAAGGTGGGGATCGGGAGAGAGGTGAGCGATTGTCTGGAGGCTTCTTGTCCTGGGATGAGGGCTGGACTAGGTTCTTTTTAAAAATATATATTTTATTGATTTTTTACAGAGAGGAAGGGAGAGGGATAGAGAGTTAGAAACATCGATGAGAGAGAAACATCGATCAGCTGCCTCCTGCACACCCCCTACTGGGGATGTGCCTGCAACCAAGGTACATGCCCTTGACCGGAATCGAACCTGGGACCCTTCAGCCCGCAGGCCGATGCTCTATCCACTGAGCCAAACCGGCTAGGGCCGGACTAGGTTCTTTCCATAAAGAAGCAAACTGCCTTTGTTTCAGAAACAACATCACCAAACATCGGGGAAGCAGCGAGCACCAATCACCATAGCCCCCAACCCCTTTCTCCTGCGGCATTCACCTGTGTTTTAAGGAGGTGTCTCCTGCTGGGGTCTCGTTTGCTTTTCCCACATTAACACAGTGGATCAAATGACTTTTTTAATTTTTTAAATCCTCACCCGAGGATATTTTCCCATTGATTTTTAGGGAGAGCGGAAGAGAGAGGGAAAGACAGAGAGAAACATCGATGTGCGAGAAACACATCCATTGGTTGCCTCCTGCACGAGCACCGACCAGGGCCCGGGCCGGGGAGGAGCCTGCCACCGAGGTCCGTGACCTTGACCGGAATCGAACCCGGGACCCTTTGGTCCGCAGGCCGACGCTCTATCCACTGAGCCACACCGGCCAGGGCTAAACAGCTTTTTCTCTGTTCCTTCAGAAGTGATGACTATGGGGTTTTATAGTCACGACCTCCCTGCCAGGGATCCTGTCCATGAGGCCGAGGTCTTAGCCTCTGATTGAGAGAAAGGTGTTCATTCCTGCCCAGGGTGGCCCGTGCCGTGGCTGGGCAGCTCTCACTGTGCTCAAGGCTTTCCAAGATCGCCCGGCCGGCATGGCTCAGTGGCTGAGCATCCACCTATGAACCAGGAGGTCACAGCTCGATTCCTGATCAGGGCATATACTCGGGTGTGGGCTCCATCCCCAATAGGAGGCAGCCGATCCATGATTCCCTCTCATCACTGATGTTTCTGTCTCTCTCTCCCTCTCCCTTCTTCTCTGAATCCATAAAAAGACATTTTAAAAGAATAATAAAATAAAATAAAATAAAACGGGCCCGGGAGAGCCGGTACAAACCAGCCGCCACACACCTCTGGTGCTGGGGACCTGGGAAGGGAGGATCCTGGTTGTCACATCACGAGGCTGCACATGGACCGTGACCTTCCCACAGTCACATGCGGGGCTGGTGCGCTGGCACGAATCAATACAGCCGTGCACAGCGTCACAAGCAAGCGGTATACTTGTATCTCTAGCTGAGATGTATTTAATGCAGCACAAGAAGGGGCGACCTCAGCCCAGACGGTGTGGCTCAGTGGTAAGCTGCATGGTGTGGCTTACCGTACACTACTGGGAGGAACTAGCACTAAGTAAAGAAACAGCCTGGGGGGAGGGCCCTGGGTACCCCTCTTTTTCTGCCCGATGCAGCCTCACTTTCCAGTGGCCATGTTGTCCTACACGAGTCCCAGGGGTCACTGGAGCTGACCCTGAAACCAAGGCCGGTTTGCTAGTCTCAGAGCCAGGCAGGGCAGGGCAGGGCAGGGCCATGTTCGTCTCCATGTCACGCACGGGCCCAGCAGGGCAGACGCAGCCAATGTTTGCTGGGAAGTCAACTGAAGC